GAATATTTTTTATAAATAATTTATAAACAATCAATTTTCCACCATAAAATCATTTGTTCGAAATTGTAACAAATTTATTCATATTCAGAATTTCACCAGAAATTGATTTCATGCCTAAAAAATAAAGTTTCCGAAAGTTTTGAACAATTTCAATTATTTATTTATAAACAACGAATATTTTTAAAAAATAATAATTCTGTGTAAAATGTAATTTTAATGACGCTGAATATTCATGATTTTTTTCAAATTTTTCTCACGCAATTTAATTGCCAAATTTGACGATTGAAAATGGTTGAGTCTATAGTGTGATTGGTACCAAACTGTAAAAGATACTTGGATGTCCTTAAATTTAAACAAATATCTTGTTGACCTGAATGAAGACCATTTAGAATTGATGGAATGTTCATTCGTTATGATTACAACATTTTCATTCGAATGAAAAGAGTCAGTAGTCCCTTCGGGGACTGACTACTGGTCAGTTTTCAGTGAATTTTTCGGAATCTAAGGCCGATAGCAAAATTTTTGTTGAGCAGATTAAGATCTACAAAAAAGTTATTCCGAAATTTTTTCCTTCTCCCTTAGATTCGGAGATAATCCTCGAAAACTCAGTCAAGATTTATAGTATATTTCAGGGCGAGTGTCATGCGGTTTTTCAGTTGCGGGGAGTTGACGTCCGAGCTAAGGACGAGGACTGGCCAACCACGCGAGTAAAAAAACCCCATGGCACTAGTCGTGAACGATATTTGTCCGTAGTCATTTTCACTTTTACGAGTTTGAGGAAGGGACAATACCAATCCCCGGACGAGAAAAAGTGAAGCTCAGTACGGAAAAATTGTTTTACCCCTTCTCTACTGCATTTCAAGCAAATTATATTCGGTATGAAAATGACTTTCGCATGTAGATTAAGTTTCAAATATTTTTATTAAAATTTTGGGGTTAAATTTTTCCATCATTCAGTGGCAAGTACCACACACTCGATTAGATTAGATAACATCGAACGTGTTGTAGCGGCGTTATCACCGATATTGTTTGATCAAATGAAAATGGATTGCTTCTATTTACACATGATATGAATTATCTGAATGCAGTGTTTCTATAGTAGATTGCAATTTCTAAATTATTCAGGGATTTCCGCTAACTGAATTTATACGCGTACTAGCACTCTACGTGTACTGGGTCGAATGAGAGAGAGGAGAGAGGTAAAAAAATTAAGCATTCGCGTTACACGACAAGTTGGGTATATTCACAAAATGCAGTTGGTGCGTTTGTAAAATGGAAAAACCGAGAAATCCCGAGGTGGAAGATTGGAACAATCGTTGGCTGTGCGATAAGACCTAGAGTGAGACCAAACTGTTATGTACGTATTACTCATTGTGTATACTGCCGGTATAGTGATAATAAATACATTCAATACATGTACATGGCTATAAAAAAACGTGGTTTATTGATGCTCGTGCATTTGCAACAGTGAGACCGCATATGCATCGATTCATTTTATTATAGCTTCATTTGTATTGAGGATATCCAAGTCATTCGGGCCACTTTTTCTGAGTGAAATCCTCTTCAGAGTTTATAAAATTGACCAAGAGTATTTTTTAGAGACAACTCAACCTCAGTTTCCGAACATTTTTTCGAGAAAACGATCGTTAAAAAAATGAAATTTAACACATTGCGTCCATAAGACCCAAACGGAAAAATATATATCTTGAGAATTATATATTTCATACATGGAATTGGCCTAATTTATATATAAGTTATATAAAATATCAATTTGTATATGTTTCATATATATTTTATATAAATCTTATATATGTATATGCGAAGAATCTAGTAAATTGTCCTATGCTATATATATATATTATATGTATATTCTTCTATGCGGGAAGCTGTATACTCCCACCTTCAATCCAATAGCTCATAATCTTGAAGCGTTTTCTCGTGCACATAACCGTATATGACTTTGTTCATTGTACTCTCTAGATTTTTTTGGGACATCAAAAAACATATTTCCGCACAGATAATTGCAAACAATCAAATTAACAGCTTCTTGATTGGTACGACTGCCATATTGAGTGGTTTGAATCTGCATGTTCCTGACGTCTGGCAACAGTCCGCTCAAATGACTACTCTGATCAAATTTACGAGGTTATATCGAACACATGTGCAGTATTGCCGCATGATCATTAGAGGTCGGCCACCGAGAGTCAAGTGTGAAACTGAATAAAATATTGTTCACAATATTCATTGAAGAAATTCCCGAAACAGTTTAAGGATGGCAAGATTTTCCGCAAAATTGAAATGTTTCTTTAAAACAAGTCGCTAATTTGGGCGAAGTGCTTGGATATCCTTAAAGTATATCCGAGTATCTCTTAGTTTTGTACGACCCACACTATAGATTCAACCATTTTTAATCATCAAATTGGTCAATTAAATTGCGTGAGAAAAAATTGAAAATAATCATGAATATTCAGCGTTATTCAAATAACATTCATTACATAAATAATTGAAATTGTATAAACTTTTAGAAACCTTATTTTTTAGGCATGAAATAAATTTCTGGTAAAATTCTGAATATGAATAAACTTGTAACGATTCCGAACAAATGATGTTTATAACGGAATATTGATTGTTTATAAATTATTTATGGATGTGCGGAAACTTAGGGTCAAATGGGATTCAAATGAAAGCTTTGATGTTCGACTACAACCGTAGAAAAGCATTTCACTGGAGAAAAAAATCCTAAGTACATGGATATCCTTAATGACCCTATTCCGTTTGCACGCGTCATCATCCAGCGAAATTACTTGATTTGTCTCCCCGTTTGAATTCCACGTCACACGTAATAGAAAGGGGAAGGACTTTTCAACGAGAGAAGATTCACACGAACATGTGAATCACTGCATTGTCGTGTCCCCAATGAAACACTCGTTTCACACATGATCACAAAACTCTTAGGTAATACCCCAGCAATCCGATTAGAAAGAAACATTGCGAATGATCATTAGTCATTGACAGCAGTCGCATAAACCCATTGATTTGAAACCTGATGCTGAGGTTATCCGGTGAGCAAAAAAAGGAAACAATGTGATTGACTTAGAAGAAAAAAAAATGAAGGATATTCCAGTCGACCTTGACGATGTTGTGTACCAATCATGCAACAAATCAAATCCCATGTAACGAGTATTACCACAAAATTAAGAAAAACAAGACGATTTATGCACGCACACATACACGGATAAATTTCTTAGAAAGCTGACGGTAATAGGTGTGCAATAAGGCGGGAATTTAGTGATTACGGAATACTCTGTTCCTCGTAGAGGAAAATATATATTTCATTTCGACCCTGAGGTGATAGTGGAACTGATTTTTTATGAAGTTATTGATTTGGTAACATACAAACGATTTTTCTCGCCATGTAGTCTTGATATGAATGAAGAAATCTTTACACAAAAAACCAATCGGCAAAAATCATGATATTATCGCTAACTATCCACGTCTTTAGTCTAATCTCCAGCCAGTAAAGAATTGACATAACTAAAAACAAGCCGGTTCAAGAAAACAAGACGATTTATGCACACACACATGCACGACCAAGTTTCTTAGAAAGTTAGCGGCAATACATGTGTAATAAGGCGGGAATCTAGTGATTAGTGAATAACCTATTACCCACATAGGAAAGAAAACATTTCCAACGATTTCGAACGATTCCAACTGATCAGGTGAATCGAGAAACACTGCACGAGTCATATGTTATGTTTCATCCAAATTTGATTAAATATTCAATTTTTAGAATTTCCATTTTGTTCTACACGGGAAGAAAAAATGTAAAAATTTCGAGGATTTCTATTAAAACATTGAAATTTCGAGTGAAATTTCTGTAAAAATTCCCAACTACCCAAGTACTTAATTTAATCTCCAGAAAGTTTAAGATTTAAAATAATGAAAAACAAGCCTATTTATGCACACGCACAATCCCAACTATGATTTTTAGAAAGTTAGCGTCAATAGGTATGTAATAAGACGGAAATTTAGTGATTAGAGAATAACTTATTAACCACAAAGAAAGAAAAACATTCAATTGCGTCTCGTGGTCATAATGAATCTGATTGTTTATGAATTTATTGATTTGGTGAATCTAAAGACACTCCACGTGTGATGTGTCACCTTTCATCCCAATGGCATCAAATATTGAATTTACATTTTGTTCCACGCAAGAGAAAAAGTAACAAATAACATATTTCGAGAATTTCAATTAAAACATTGAAATTTTGAGTGAGATTGTGGGACAAATTCAGAGGTAATATTAACTCAATTTTCATAGTCTCGATATGAATAAAAAAATCTTCACAGAAAAAACCAACAAGTTAAGAATTCAAATAACTCAAAACAAGTCTATTTATGCACCCACACCAGCCCGACTAAATTTCTTAGAAAGTTGACGGCAACAGGTGTATAATAAACCGTGAATTTCGCGATTACAGAATAACCTATTACCCACAGAAGAAAAAAAACGTTTCATTTCATCCCGAGGCGATAGTGGATCTGATTGTTCATGAATTTATTAATTTCGTCAATCTAGAGACACTCCACATGTCATGCGTCAAATATTGAATTTCCATTCTATACCACGTGGGGAGAAAAAATGTAAAAATTACCATATTTCGAGAATTTCAATTAAAACATAAAAATAAAAAAATCTTCGCAGAAAAAAGCAACGAGTTAAAAATTCAAATACCTAAAAACAAGCCGATTTACGCACCCACACAAGCCCAACAAAATTTCTTAGAAAGCTGACGGCAACAGGTGTATAATAAACCGTGAATTTAGTGATTACCGAACAGCCTATTCCCCCAGAGGAAAAAACCCATTTCATATCGTCCCCGACCTGACGCTGTCGAGCGCGCACCGAGTGATTAATTTTCCGCGTGGTAAGTTTCCTTTTCCCATCGAAAAGCCTGGAACCCTATTGCACTCTCGTTCAATTACATCAAAGAATTTACCTCATCGATTGAGCTAATACTCCCGTCCGCTTTTTCCTCGCTCTCAACGCTCGCGGGATTTCTCTCAGGTGTCTTGATCTCCTTGATACCCGTCATTGTTCCCCTTATGATGATGCTATTGGCCTTGTAATAGTCATCCGCCTCCTGATCAACAACCAATAACTTTGTTTCACTGGGAAATGCCTTAATGCGATCCACCACTTGTTTGTGTGTCTCATTGGCGATATTAATCTCATTGACTTCGATAATACGATCGCCCTGTCGTAAACCAGCGGCTTGACTCGGTGATCCATCATCAACTTTGCCGATGAATTGTCCATTCTTTCCCCGTTCAGCGTGAAGATTGAATCCATATCCATCAAAGTCCTCCCATTTTACGATATGGCAGAGACGAGCGCACGGCACTTTATCACCCTTCAACGACATATTGTTATGTATTGCAGTCTTTTCTATGGACTAATGAGAATCGTTTGAGATCACAGAACCACTTGGTCACGGTATCACTCGATATCATCCAATTGGGGGTCCTTTTTTTCGAGGGAATATCAGCCCGAAATTGACGATCTATTCCCGAAATACTCCCTGTTGCTGGCCCCTTAACACTCTTCACCACTCGTCTACCTGTCACGATCTTCCACTCGGTTTTATCTCCTTTTTTCAGATCCTTCTTCTTGTTCTTCAAGGACGTATCTCGCGGCGACTCCCTCGCAGATGAGAATTAAGAAAATTATTAGCGCACGGCACTTGCTATTAGTTATTTCAATGACGCGGGGTTTTTAATTTTAATGAGGGATTATTCAGTGAATTATTGCGCTCGATTATCGTAAGAGTGGTGATACGACGGAATAATCCATGCGAGGCGCTGTCGCCGACTTGCGACAAAGACGGAAGAACCGAAGGTGAGTGCTCAGGCCTCGGCGAGTTGTACAGATTTTTTGGGATGTTGGGAGGGGGAGCGAGACCGGCGGGTGCGGGCAGTGGTTGGACGACTGTGGCGCTGTACAGCGGCAGGAGGATCAACACTGTTTGAATGAAGAATTTTACCGATTTATCGATCGAACTTGAAGGGACCAGTTATATTACAGTGTTCATTCGTGATGAAGTACTCCAGGGATTTTTTATACTTCTAGAATACCTAAAAAATACAAGTGCAAAAGGCCTTAATATACAGAAAATATTTCAAGATTTTGCGGATTGAATGATTATTATATTATCGATCGATCGAAGATTGATTGAAGAGTTCTATTTATGTCCTAGAATGTACATATTCCTAATGTACATTATTCCCAAAGGCGAAAATTGTCCGATTATTCAGTCTTGCCACGATTTAATAAGTCGTTCACTTCTTGAATGATGGATTTTACTGATTTATCGATCAAACTTGAAAGAACTAGTTATTTTACAATGTTAATTCGTGGTGAATTACTCCAGAGATTTTTTATACTTTCAGAATACTAAAAAATACAAGTGCGAGAGGCCTTAAAATGCAGCTAATATTCTAACATTTTTCCGGACTGATAGATTATTATTATCAATCGATCGTGGATTGATTTGATTAAAGGATTCTATTTATGTCCCAGAATGTATATTATTTCTAAAGTCGAAAATTGTCTAATTGTTTAGGTCTGCCATGATAATAAGTCTTTCACTTCTTGAATGATGGATATTACTGATTTATCGACTGAACTAGGCGTGATTAGCTATCTTAGAATATTAATTCGGGATGAAGTACTCCAGGGATTTTTTTATACTTTCAGAATACTAAAAAAATAAGTGCGAAAGGTCTTATAATACAGAAAACATTTCAAGATTTTACCGCACTAAATGATTATTATTATCGATCGATTGAGGATTGATTGATTGATTGAAAGATTCTACTTGTGTGCTAGAATGTATATCATTCCTAAACTCGAAAATTGGAATTTAGTCGTTCACTATCCACGATTTAACAAGTGGTTCGCTTATTAAATGATGGATTTTACTGATTTACCGATCGAACTTACAGTGACTAGTTATTTTAGACTTATTAATTCATAATGAAAAACTTCAGGGATTTCTTTATACTTTCAGAATACTGAAAAACATGCGTGCTAAAAGTTTCAAAATTCACAAAACATGTCAAGATTTTACCGCCCTGAATGACTATTGTTATAGATCGATCGAGGATTGATTTATTGATCGAAGAAGTTTATTAATGTCCTAGGGAATTGCTACGGATTCATTTGGAAGCTTACTACCAACGGAATTGGTAGAAATAAAAAAAAAGAAAGAGACTAATGATGCAAAAGGTAACGGTCACATATGCCTTTTGTCGGATAGGCTCGAACCCCTATTTGTTCTTCCTAATACACTGAGAAAAAAAATTACTCTTGTCAAATACTCATTTACTTGAGAAAAGCATTAATTTTTTCAAAATCGCATTTCTCCAATCGAGTCGTTTCTAGGCAAGCCTGATTAGGTTTCAATTATGAAAATCATGTTTTTCTAAAGGATGACTAGGTTGCACATGACTTAGGATGAAGTCCTCCAATGATTATTCATTTTTCCTACATTTTTTAATTTCTAAAGGGGAGAATTTCGATTAATTTTTTAATGTTGATAATTATTGAGGGAGTTCATTCAAGGTCATACCTAACATAATCATTTCCTAGAGCAATATAATTGTCATAATTGAAACCTAATGAGGATTGCCCGGTAATGACTCGACTGGACAAATACGGAATTGAAAAAAAAATATTTCCCTCAAGTAAATGGATATTTGGCAAAAATAATTTATTTTCTCAACGTAAACAGAAAAATGGTAATTGGTCGGGAAGTTATTGGTTCGACCAGTCATGATAGGTCACCCCCACTTCAACCAACCCGCAATAGGAGCGAGCGAAGCAAGCGACCAACGATCCATTCAAATTTTGTTTTTGTTTGTTTGGAATAGGAGGAATAGTTCTCCGTAGCTACGATATTCATATCGCCGACGACAACTAGACGATGAATACATTAATTATTCTTCATTTTCACTCATGCACTGTTCACTCTGAACGGATAATGAATGACGAAATGAAACGAGCCGTATAAACGTTGAACGTACATATGGGTACGTGGATAATGTGTCGTAATGCTGGGAAGGTAAAGATTTATATCGTGAATAACCCTGGATGGCGTGATGTAACCAGTTCGGGTAAAACAATGGGGGAGCAGAGTAAACATTCTATGTGTACTATGGAACGAACGGGGGAAAGAGTCACGAGTCAATTGAGATCATGAAATTCATCGATAATGGGAGATTGATTTCGTTTTCATTGTTGGGATTATGAGGATTTGATTGGTGCGGGGGCATACGTGGGAGAACCGTACCACCGCGGGAATTTTTTTTAAATAATTAATTATTACATGTGGAGGAAACCGATGGGAAATGATTATGGCACGAGTGCAGGGCTTAATGGTTTAACAGTATCCGTCCATCGTGTATTGACTTTTTTTGTTAATTTCTACGGATTTATATATTTTTAACTGAAATCACATAGCTTCAACGGAATTTCAAGAAATTTTGTCATTGGAAATTCAAAATTTTATGGAATAATCAGTAAAAGTTTCGAATTTTAGTTCAATTATTTCAGGAGAATGAATCAAATCAAGGAAATTCGGGTAATTTAGGGAACTTTCATCTTTCTGTTGAAAAATTTAAAATTTCACTGGATTTTAAGTGAAATATGAAATTCCAACCCGGCTGTGTGGCGCCGTTGGTAGCAGCATGAGATTCACAACCTCAAGCTCCCAGGTTCTCGAGCCCCGGCCGGGCCAAAATTACACACCAATTTTTCATTACAAATTTCCACATAATATTCATCTGAAAATTTAACACAATTTTCAAACCGAATATTCCGCAGATTTGCCAAGTGAAAAAACCCACTCCAGATTCAACATTCCCTGGCTGAAGATCCTCGGGCGATGGCCGCGTTGGCAAGTTAACCCTTGCAACGAAAAACTGGTGAAATTAAAAAAAAAATGAAATTCCATGATTTGTTCCCCTTACATCGAATTCAATGGCACTCTCCTGAAAATTACTATAATACTTAACTGTCCATGAAATTGCAATTTTTTCCTAACCATGATCAACACCAAATTTGTATTTTGACATTTTTATCGCATCTGAGGAGGAATAAATGGAAAATCGACGAATTATTGACTAAAAAAGCTCTTCATTTGAACAAAATCGAGTTTCGTCATTGGAGGTTTAAAATTTTAAAGAATAATCAGCTATAAATACCTCACGACCTTCAAAATTATCGGATATTTCCCGAATGTTTTGTTGCATAGCAACGAGAGAGATTAGTTTTGCAGATTAAAATCCCGAGCACGTAGCGCGAGGAATTTTACTGCAAAGCTGATCCCGATCGTTGATATGCAGGAAAATTTGAGGGAAATTAATATCCGATGAATTTTGAAGGTCGAGGGGTATTCGGAGGACAATTTCTTCAATTCTGATTTTGGCCGATCAGGGTGCAGTGTTCGAGATTATCTGACACATTTCACCAAAATGTGAGAAATATCTGTCAAATTCGTAGAAAACAATCGACAGGCTACAGGGAAATTATCAGTCTGAGAATTTCCCTGCAGCCGGGGGAATTATCAGTGTGAAACGCGTCACGTGACTCCGAATACTGCACTCTGATTGGTCAAAATCAGAATTGAGGAAATTGTCAGTTGAAAACCCGGTAGGTTTTACCACGTAAGGTCGAATGGTGGGATTCTATTGGCTGAAATTTGGATGGGAAAATTCTCAATAGAAACTGTGAATTTTAGGTCAATTATTCGATTAATATAAATATAAATCAGGACAATTCAGGTAAATATATTTCGGAATTTTCAGTTGAATGAAAGTCTGTCTAATTTGCTGAATTCTCGTCTTCCTGCGCTCAAAAATTCGGAACTTCATTGAATTTCCAGTGAAATATGAACTTTCACGATTTGAAATGATTCCCCTAAATCGAATTCAATGTCACTCTCTTGAAAATTAATAGTCAACTGTCCATCAAATTAAAATTTTTTTTGCTAACGCTGAATTCTAATCATGTTTTTTTACATTTTTGCATCCAACTGGTTTATGATCATCTGGGGGAAGAATAAATGGAAAATCGACGGATAAATGACTAAAAAAACTCATTTTATAAAAATCGTGTTTCATCATTGGAAGTTTAAAATTTTTAAAAATAATCAATAGAAACTGTGAATTTCAGTTCATTATTCCAGGAAAATTAATAGAAATTAGAAAAATTCAAGTAATAATATATTTCGTTACGAGTGCGGAAAAGAGTTGTTTCCGCACTCGTCTTCGACTCGTGCTATAAATCTCCCACGAGCCAAAAAACTCTTTTCGCACTGGTAACGAAATATACTATTTTTTATTTTCAACTAAATGAAAAGTCAGAATAATTTGGCAAATTCTCTTCTTCCTGCTGTTCAAACATTTGGAATTTCATTGAATTTCCAGTAAAATATGAAATTCTATTATTTGTTCTTCCTAAATCGAATTCAATGTTACTCTCCTGAAAATTGATAGTCATCTGGGGGAAGAATAAATGGAAAATCGACGGATTATTGTCTCAAAAAACTTTTCATTTTGGAAAAATCGAGTTTAATCATTAAAAATTTTAAAATTTAACGAAATAATCATTAGAAACTGAATTTGAGTTCAATTACTCCATGAAAATGAATATAAATCAGGAAAATTCAGGTTAATATATTTTTCAATATGTAATCGAATGAAAAGTCTGCATAATTTGCAGGCATTCGAATCTTCCTTCTACTCAAACATTCGCAATTTCCTTGAATTTTGCACAGAGCTAATGCAAAATCGCCTCCCACAATCTTTCCGAGCAAACCACAATAAACAGCTGCAACCGTTACACCTTTGCATACCGCTGCGCAGGTACCAACAGTACCTCATCCACAGAACTATCCGACGAATCCTCTCAATTCATACCCAAGAATCCGCGACCTTGCGTTCCAAAATTAATTACTAAATCATCTTGCCCCACTCGACCGGTTTAAGTAGTGCGTCAACAGTTTATCTCGCAATTAAAATCAATTGTCTCCGGTCTTATCGCCCCTTTCAATAGTCTTCTCCATGTCATATCAGCGTCATGACATCGCATATGAAAAATACTCGGATCATTTTCCCCTCATTTTTCACAATTCCCCAATCAATCGATCGCTTTAGAACACCTCATAGCGACGAGATTGCGAGATTGGCTCCAACACGATCATCGATGAACCGATGGTTGAGGCTTCACAATTTCAAAGTTACGTCCCTGAAGCATCAACTGGAAGTGGCTGCGCCAACAGAGTTGCGCGTTGGCACATTCAACCTGAACATGAATGTAGAAATGGGTAGAAACCGCGCAAGGTACCGAAGAAAGACGATACATGGCATGTGGAAATAGTTGTCCGTGATCCACGGAGCTTTACGGTTCCACCAGGTGTCGCATCGTTACATTACCTGTCATTACCCCGATTACTCCCAAATAAACACGTCCCCCCGAAAAAATAAGCAAGTAAGAATAGTTCAAGGCACAAACTGTCACCAAAAATCCACCGACCACTAAAATCTAAAGGTGCGAAATTGTGATGCGTCAGCAGACGAGTGATAAATATCTGTGCAGCAGGCATGGGATCTAGTGTAAATCGTCGATAGTAAATTGTGGGTTCGACACAAAAGGGAGAGAAAAAAATTCCTGACGGCTTACTAATGCCACCGATGAAATAATATTTGTCAGAGCGAAGTTAAAAATGTGGAGTCCAACGCATGTACAAGTAACAGGTAGGCTGTCGTTATTTGATCATTTACTCGAAGGTTCTTTCGTCGTTTTAATGATGAAAAAGACATTAGTTTGAGAGGACAAGGTAATGGGTTATAATGATGTCAGCGACCTTGAACTCTTTAACGATTTAATTTCGAGGGATGGAGTGATGTTGATTATTGAAACATCATTGGTCCGGGGGAAAGGGCAGTACGAGGCGTTGATAAAGTGGGTAGGTAGGTCAGCTCAGTCAATGTACCGTAAGTGAACATGCTCTACGAACATGTGGATTCAATGATCTATTTTTTTTTCCTGCCCACGGGCCCATCATAAATTCAATCATTCTCGTGTCTCTTTTAATTTGCGCGCCGATGGAAAAAACAGGGCAACGGGGATACTGCACTGGTCTTCTGGATTTAGAAAATCACATCAACGTGCCAACTCCTCTCGAGTCACTTTGTCTCTTTGTATATTACCTCGGAAGCCAACAACTAACCCGTTACGTACGACGACACCGAGTTGTACAGTCATCGTCGAGAGTTCTTGATAGTTTATTGAAGGAATTGAGGGAGATGCTTTCACGTGAATTTTCGGTCATTCAGAGAGATGAGAATAACACTGGGATGAGTGATCCCACATCTCAGTGGTGTTGCCACTTTACTTCGAGATGGGTTAATTTAAGACGTTGGATAGTGAAAGGTGTCTTATCGGGTTGACATTTCGGATGTATTGTAATAGGAGATTTTTGGCATCTTAAAACGAGACGTTTGATAGACAAGACGTTTTTGCAATGTCTTGGAATACAAGTCATCTAATTTATGACATTTCTGCTGTCTCCATTCAAAACACTTGAAATTGTTGCGATTGAAGTTCTGAATTTATTGAGAGGGTCGGAAAGGTGATGAGCATGGGAGATGCTAATTTGAACATAGTAACACTGCGAGATTAGAGGGGTGTAAAAACCTTAAATATTATTATAAGCAGAAATACTTTTCATCAGTATTTTTCAGCACAAAAATTCTTCTACTCTTGGTTTCCTAACTCCCTTCAAATTCTGCTTCATGACCGCTATTTTTCACGTAACCATAATCCAGTAGCAAAGCGGCAAAACGGTTCAAGTCGACATAACTCTCAGCTGTTTTTGAGGAATATCTCTGAATCTGAGGGAAATAGTGAAATTTTCGGAATTACCGTTTTCGTAGCTCTCAATTCGCTCTACGAAAAAAGTTATAACAAAAAATTTGCCATCTGCCTGACATTCCAAGATATGTAGTGAAAACTGACCAATAGTCAAAATCCATTTCAACCGTTTTACTGCTTCGCTACTGAATTATCAGTGAAAGAAGATATTCTCGCAATAATCTACAATTCCTTGTTAAATTTGATGAATCAAATAAATCGCCGAACGTTTATTGAAAATTTAACAAATGGTTGTCGAATAAAATTGAAAAATCTTTTTCTGAATTTTAATTAAATAGTTGTTAAATTTCACCAACTAGTTGTTGAAACTCAAAAACTGCTGGTAATTCATTTTTTCAACAACTAGTTGGTGAAATTCACCAAATCATTTTCTCCGTGTCATAGTACATTAGAGTACAAGAGCACAAATTTCGCGAGTAAAAACCTCGCCTTCGGCTCGGCCTGTAAACGTTACATTCGTCGAAAACGAAGTTTATACCCGAATGATCTATAATATTTCATGTCACACCGCGCAGAATTCGAGTTTGAAGAACGATAAACTCGACTTATTGCATGGCATAACATAGAATATCTAGAATGCAGGGCTTAATGTCTTGATTCGAGACAATAGAAATTACTTAAATTTGGGGACACAAAAGTTTTAAAAAAAGGATCTTCATTTCGAGTGTCTTAAAATAAGGCATTTTTCTCCGTCTAAAAGTAAGATGTCCTATAGACGAGGCATTTCCATATCTTGGAATACGATCACCGCATTTAAGACATCGCTTTTCTGTCGCAATTCAAGACACTTGAAGACTATTCAATCACTAGTTATTTATAATAATGATACTACGACAAGACATCAACCCCATTAAGACATGGAATCATGAGACGTCTTTGATGACTTATCCATTTTCTTTCAATTTATTGAAGTTCTGATTTTATTGATAGGATTGGAGGGATGATGAGGGTGAGAGATGTCAAATAAATTCAAATATTGTATCATTGCAAGATCATAAGGACGAGAAAATGTTAAATATTATTCTAAGGAGAAATACTTTTCATCTGTATTTTTCATTATTAAAATTCTTTTAATCTTATGCGCTAACTCCTATCAAATTCTGCTTCTTAGCCGCTTTTTGTCACGTAATCAAAAGTATCAGTGAAACAATGATTGGAGAAATAAGGAATGAAGTATTTGGAAAAACAGATGAGACATCACAACTTTGGAACAAAAGATCCTCGAGTAAGACACCTAGAATTTCTAGAATGCATGCTTTAATATCTCAATTTGAGACACAAAAAATGACTCAGATTTCGGAATACAAACGTCCTAAAAAAGGCCCAAAAATGTTCTAATTCCAAACGCTAGTTCTAGTAAATTCACGTGCAAATTTCTCGTGCAAATGAAAATAGGGAGATTGAATAGCTAGGGAAACCGGATCGTCGATTTCCCCTTTGTAACGCAAACGAGAGCACGTTTTCTTCTTGTTGTATATGTACCTCAACGATCTTCACACGAGAGGAAGAAAAAAAAGTCGGATGCGATGTATCTTTTCTCAGGTAAATCCACTCGAGGATAAATAGCCCGTCCCTGCGGAGAATATTCTCACAGATTATTTCAATTTACATATTGTATTTATTCTCCACAAAATTATCATTGAATCACCCTCTGTGTACGCGTGTCGAAGAATAATGGAGGGAAGAATGAAAACGAATGTAGGAAGGGGCGAGGTAAAAATGCAGAGGGGAAGGAGAGAAACGGGGAATGGAAAAATCTTGATGAGTGCGAGCGACATACCAGAGACGCACTCAGCGTGTGCATCAACGTAGAAGTCACGTACAGTCGGCCTTTCCCTCAAGAAAAATAGAGAATATAAAAAAATGGAGAATATTCAATCATCAAACTTCTTAATTAAATTACGATAGGATTGCAAAGACAAATTTGAAAATAATCATGAATATTCAGCGTCATTAAAATTAAATTTTGCATAAAATTATTATACGTTTTTAACATTCGTTGTTTATAAATAAATAATTAAAATTGGTTAAACTTTCGGAATCGATTTCCGGTACAATTCTAAATATGAGTAAATTTGTTACGATTCCGAACAAATGATTTTTGTGGTGAAAAATTGCTTGTTTATTAATTATTTATAGAAAACGCAAGTAATTTTAAAAAATTGCAATTTGTAAATTATACCATCAACCTTCCTCCAAAAGTAAATTTTCTAATTTGTTTTCAGATTTTTAAAATGTTTCTAACCGTTCAATATCGAGATTCAAATTCAAACCTGCAAAGTTTAAATAATAAAATCATTGTAAAATGTCTGGAAACTAAGAGTTAAATGGGGCTCAAATGAAAGCTCCGATGTTCCACTAAATATCTCTTAAAGGATATTTTCATATCTTTTACCGTTTAGTACAGACCACACAATAGATTCAACAATTTTCAATCACCAAATTTGAAAAAAAAACCATGAATATTCAGTATCATTCAAATCACACATGGTACAGAATTATTATTTTTTAACATTTGTTGTTTATGGATAAATAATTGAAATTGTTGAAATTTGCGGAAACATTACTTTTTAAGCATGAAATCGGTTTCTGGTACAATTCTGAATATGAATAAATTTTTTACGATTCACAAATGAATAAATATTTTTTATGGTGAAAAATTGATCGGTGATAAATTATTTATAGACAATGCTCGTAATTTTAAAAAATGGCAATGTTTAGATTATTTCATTAATCTTCCTTCAAAAGTAAACATTCCAACTTTTTTCAGATTTTTAAAATGTTTTCTAACGGTTCAATATGAAGATTCAAATTCATTCAGGGAAAAGAAATTATCAAAGTACTTGGATATCCTTAAACAATTATTTTTTCAGTTTTTTTATTATTTTTTCAGTTATCGTCGAAAAACTATCGGTCACATATACTCACACACATACACACATACATCCAGACATGTTCTAAAAATAGCATATTTGAAGACCTGAGGCCCAAATTAGTTATCATGACGCAAGAAATTGGAAATTTCGAATTTGACTAATCCAATGCTTTCATTCGGAATAAAAAATTCCACAGAACTGACACTCGAGGATGAACGATTTCCTGTGAATGCGATCCGATGTTTGTCATCTGTTAGATGACACACACGTTATTTTAGTTTATAAAATATACGATACGCATCGAATGGGTGGAATCGAATAGTGACAGGATGTCGTGATTGGCATCCGTCGTGAATTGTCGTGACTCGTAATTATTAAATGATTAATTGTTGGTATTCAGTGCACCCAGTAACTTCATGCGTTATTGCACTGCTTGATATGTGGGATTAATCTCTTTTCTCTTTTTTTTTTCTAGTTCAGAGAGCGAAAGGATTGTTGACCAAGGGAAAGCATCGTAAGTAGATTTGTAATAAAAATATTTTGCGAAGGAAATTCGTTATTTTGTTATTTCATCAGTTCACCACAAATGAATGGTCCCAAAAGCCAAAAAATATGAAGTATTACTCTTCACTTGGATTTTGAAATGATAAATAAAACAAAAATTGAAATTCATTCGTTGAATTCATGAGAAATTGTTATGCTTGTATTGTCTGTCCTGATGAAAATTATAATGCGATCATGGCCTGTGGTGACAACAGGTAGAGATGACTGCAGGTGCCTAATGAGGAGATGAAATAAAATTGATGGCTATAATGGGAAAACTTTCGTACACCGCGTGGGCTTGAATTCCCCGCCGTGTATAATACATTGAGTAATACAATTCCCTCCTGTTGTAGGAGTCTAGTTTCAGGTAGACTCATGACCGTGGCGATAATAATAATGGAGATTAATTGTGAATTTGCTAAACTCATCACATTTCTGAGGCCATGATTACGTGTCTCGTAACTCTGGAAATATTCGCTGAGTGTTTGAATACAAACATGACACGATTAATTTCGGTAACTGACCCGCCCACTTGACCTGTTGTTCTTGAAATTCAGTCGAGGAGTGATGAAACCCAATGGTTGATGATTCACGGGGGGAAAAATGAGTTCAGGAATGTCGGACACAAAAATTAAGGACGAAAAATCGAGGAAAAAGTTTAATCCTCGCCGTCGGCTCGTGATATAAACCTCCCACTCGCCAAAAAACACTTTTTTGCACTCGTTACGAAATATACTATTTCATAATAGAAAAGTCTTTTCGTTTACAAGTTTCGACTTTTCGTTTACTAGTAAACGAAAAGTCGAAACTTGTAAACGAAAAGACTTTTCTATTATGAAATAGTATATTTCGTAACGAGTGCAAAAAAGTGTTTTTTGGCGAGTGATATAATCCCACGAGCTAAAAAACATTTTTTCACGAGTTACGAACAATATTTTTCATCACAATGTGGCGGAAATTGGACTTTTAGGCACGCGGAGCGTGCACCCCACGTGCGACGGGGTGTTTTAACTCGTGTGATTGGCAGCCCGAGGCGAAGCCTCGGGCTGCCAATCTTCACACTCGTCGCCACCCCGTCGCACTTGTATCAAAATATACTATTTCTGTCCAAATTTCAAGTTGATATCTCGCTTTTTGCACAAGCTAGAGTGTTTACAACGTTTTTTTTTTATGAAAAAACAGAAAAACGGAAATATCTGGAAAACTTTGTATGAATGGGTATATATATGTTTTGATTGATTAAGATAGGGAGCATCGAAAAAAATATTTTGAAAAAAAAAATCGAAATCGGTCCACTAGTTTTGAAGATATTTGCGGCAAACGATTTAAAAATGAATCGCTTATTCTCAAAAACTATTAGCTCAATCGGGCAGAAATTTTGCACAGAGCTAGTCTACATTAGGACCTACAATCTGACAAAATTTCCAATTTTTTGGAATTACTTTAGCCACTTAATTATTCAATTTTCTAAAAATTGACCACCGGGGCGATATAGCGGTGGACGTGATCACATACTGACATGGTCACCAAACTTCGTATTTTTACGTTTCAAACCATTCTACATCATTTCGAATCAAAATTGAGAGTGTGAAAATCGAAAGATTGCGATGCTTCCATTCGGAAACAAAAATCGGAAAAATTGTGGCGCGACGCTCATAGGGCGACCAACGGACTGTAAACGTCGATGGACATTTAGATTCAATAACTTGACCTGATGAAGGACTCTTAGTAATTTAGAAACGGCGGCGCAGAAAGAATTATCTTTGTTATGAATTTTTTTTTGATAAATTGATTTAAACCGCTGACTGTTTATGACTGTTATGGCTAGGAGAAATTGCGGAGAAGAATCAAAACTTTTTTTCTGTGTTGGATTGTCCTGGTATTGGGTTCAAGCCACATTTGTTACTTTTGATTTCACAGAGACAAATGACTGCTTCGTGACGATAGCACTTGGTAAAGAGAAGTATCAAACGTCGGTGAAGGAAAAAGCATCGGAGAATGTCGAGTGGCACGAAGAATGCGAGCTGCAAATTCCATCCCAAGGGAACAAGGCGGAAATTGTGCTGACAGCGTTGCACAGAAATTTTCTCGGGGTTGATGAATTTTTGGGAATGATCAGCGTGCCACTGGCCAGCTTTGATGTCTATGAGAGGCCGCGGAATAGGTGGTATGTAATCTCTAGACAACTCTTCGTTCTATTTTTAGAGATACATGGGGATTTTACAAAATTGCAAAAAACTTCACGAAAGAAATTGAATTGAAAAAAAATGAAAATATTGACACGGAGGAACATTGAATATGAAATTGCCATGAGCAATTCCTCAAAAACAGGAATCCAGTAAATACGAAAATTTATAATTATGATGATGACATATAAAAAAAATTTTGGAACATTTATCGAATTTTTTTCTGAACACAATTAATCTTTTGGTCTTTCTGATCTTCATTGTTTTTAATGTTTGGCTGAAATTTTTAGTACACTTCTTATAATTTGTTATCACATGTTGGTTCCACTTTAATTTCAAAGAATTTCGTCATTGAAAATTCAAAATTCGATGGAAAAATCAATAGAAACTGTGAATTTCAGTTCAATTATTTCATGAAAATTGACAGAAATCAGGGAAATTCACATGGATATATTCTTGAATTTATAATTAATCAAAAACTCAGCGTAATTTGATACTGAAAATCCGTGTTTCGATTTAAAATTCAAGTAATTTGAGAAATTCTCGTCTCCCCATGGCTAAAAATGCGAAATTTCATTGAATTTCCTGTGAAAACTGAAATTTTATAATTCTATTCGCTTAAATTCAATTCAATGTCACTCTCCTCAAAATTGATGCTCAACTCCCCATGAAATTCAACTTTCTCCAACAGTGCTCTCTAAATATTCTGATGAGTTTCTTCATCCTCGATTTCCCGAGCGATAACCCGTTCGACTCTTACGATTCTCTTTCAACTGCAATTAGCCCCAGGTGTGGGGCTCATATAACGATCTACTCATGCCTCAATAAAACGATAGCTAATCCTGACGCACCTAGAAACCTTTACAGCCAATTGATATTGTCAACAGGTACACCCTCGAGTGTAAACCAGGAAAGGAGAATACGAAGAATCGTGGCGCGCTGGAGGTTAAAATTGGATTTATCGTGAAAGCCGGTAGTTTAACAGATTTAACGAGAAAAGAGCGACACAAAAGTTCACTAGGACAACTATCAACAGCGGCCCAATCAATCGGGGGTAGTTTACTGAGTATCGGTAGCTTGGAGAAGCGCAAGGGTTTGAAAAAATTAGCAAAATCCATAGGTAATCGTGTCAAGGGAAAGAGTAAAAGTAAATTGGATAAGGACGAGTTTGATGAGGTTGAGGAGCACCAGATTAGGCCCTCGAGGCAGGAGCCTGGTGAAGCTGATCCTGGGGTCATTAGCGAGGATGATGATGAGTTTACCGTAAGATTCAATAATGTTCACTGAGAAGAAAAACAAGTGGTTAATTGGTTTCGTCATAAAATAGGCACTATAGTCTTTTATCATTGCTAATAAATTAGCAGGTTGCTTCCGAATGGAATTTCTATGACGATGTATTTTAAACTGAATTCAACATTGCTCCAACATTGAAATTTTTTACCTTTTTCTGAATATTGGTTTCAAAATAATTTTTTCAACAATATTTATTCTATATTTAGAATATTTAGAAATGGATGATTTATATTTTTTAAGTCCTAATAAGACTTATTTGAGAACCTGTTCGTTTTTCTCTCAGTGTTTAATAACTCGTTCTAGCTGATAAAACAATCATAAAATGAGCTTTATATCTTTCAGTTTGATGATTTGTCACACAAGAGTTCTGCGTCGTCTCTGAATGCACCAGTGTCGAGTGCTATCACACCGACATTTTCAACAAATTCGAATAATTCACAGAATTCATTCTCTCGTGTGACAACTGAACCCAACACACCACCACCAGCACCGACCAATGTTGCACCCAACAAACCACCGAGGATCACTTCCCCTTTGAATTCTTCCTCTCCGAGGATTGATGATCGTGATCAGGACGAGTGGGGTAGAAAGCTTTATGGAATACAGGGGAACAATGTCATCAAAAGGTGATTTTTAGAATTCCCTAATATTCTATATTAGAAAAACTTAGGAAATTCACTCGAAAATTCTATTCGAGTAGAAATTCATGATATTGAAATTGGAGAAAAAGCGAACAAACACCGAAGGTCGGGTTTGAACCCACGACCATTAGGTTACCAGTCTTAGCCTTTACACACATGGCTACCCAGTGGGTGAAAATTCTATTCGATATCTGCTAAACTCTCCAAGTTTTTCTATCAAATTTTTTCATGCGTGTTGGTTGAGAAAAATTTAACAAATTGATGATTTATTGTCCATAGTTCAAAATTGATATTACCTATTTAAACAGAAAATGTTTGTTTTATGCCCATAATTCATTGAATCATGTTATCACTCGTGTTTAAAAATTTTGAATTTTCAAATTAAATTTTTATACTTAAATACTATTAATTTCCCTCAGTATAAATTAATCTTAATGAAACAAGTGTTGTATTAATTACAGATGGGATAACAAGACAAATCCAAAGATTGTGATAGAGGAGCCGAGTGAGAAATCCCCATCAGCATCCCCATCCCCAACCTCAAGATACCGTGATACCCCAGAGCCACCGAGTCCTGCACCACGAGAAATAATCACTTCAAAGCGGCCAAAGGATGATAAACTTAAAGAAAGAAATTCCAAGGATGACAAATATTTTATAAGAGATAAAAGTCCAAATCGCAGAGAAGATAAATACATGAGAAGTCCCAAGGAGGATAAGCCGTCAAAGAAAGATAAGAAGAAGGATAAGGAGAATAAAGGAAAAGATTTCACTGACGAACAATTGTCCTCTGAGAGGATAATTATTGGTGGTGAGGACGGTATGAAGAATAATATGGGAGGCAAGAGTCGGCTTCCACTTGAGGTACTCCAGCAGTTCGAGGGAAAGACCAGAGAGGTACTTCATTAATTTAAATTCTATCATATTTTTCATTTTAACTAGCGCCACCCTTGATGCCCTTTTCCTGCCAGATTCCATAGTCCTTTTTTCAATTAATTGTTTATAATCATTCTCATTGGAAAAAGCAATACGATCGATGAGAATCATATGTTCAAATTTCTCAGCCGTTAAATTTTCATATTACAATAAATTATTTCGCATGTTCTAATTCTTATGCTCCCTGAATAAGATTTTAATCATAATTACAATTCAATTCTTTTTAGAATACACTTTAGGGTGTGAATTTCTGAACTTCAATGTTTGTTGCTACACTTGTATCAATTCGTACTTAATTCAAACGGCAATTCAATTTATCTGTTGTTCATCTTATCAATATAATTTCGTGCATAGAATATTGTCATCTCTTGTTTTCAGCACCAAATTAAAAATTAAAACTCAATTGGGAATATTGAGTCTCAGTTTCTTTTCACTCATATCAGAAATTTTGTTTTTGGATATTAATATTAATTATTATTAATATGGCATTCAGATTCTCTTATCTCAACGTAAAAAATGTGAGATAATCTCACAATTCTAGCTATTAATTCTAATCAACTTTGTTCGAAGATAACTTTAGTAAATGCAATATTAAGAAAGTAGAATCAGGGGTAGCCAAATCCATAAAATATAATTACCATCAAATATTGTAGCCGTCAATTAGTTAACATCACTCATAAATTTTTTGATTACTCAAGTATCATCAATTCAAATATTCAAATTTTCAACTATTTTATTAATCAATAATTGAAGTATGAAGATTCACGATTGTTTGTGTAATCGAAAATCTCCTTTTAAGACATTTGAATTATTCACTCAATGGTAAATTTACAATTCCATATTATCAAATTTTTAATTCATCATTAATCGAAAAAAATAGTTTATTAATATTATACTATTTGTAAAACGAGATCGGCCGCGCGTGTTTCAGTCTTACGCTTACGCTTATTCCAGATTTTCGAGATATATATTGAGTTCGATTTTCTTTCTCCTTTTTGCGATAGGATTTAATCAGCATATTGTAAACTTTCATTTATGTATCCTTGTAATATTCCAGAAATTTAATATTGATGGTGATCCCTGAGTAGAATTATTCTGTTTTCTTCAGACCCAACTAATTTGGACAATTATGATTGGGTTTACTCATGTTACATAGAATAGTATTCAATTCTCTTTTGTTTGACAGACGGGCTTCATGAAAATTCGACACAAGACCATTGTACTCATGAAAACCGCCTTACCTTCTCCATTCGTTCGAGATGTCCACCATGTTCGAGTTTTAATTTGCGATGCGAGATATTGCCTAAGTTTTTATTTTCAAGGATTCGTCGTTTCTTAATAAAAAAAGTTTAATAAATTAAATGGTCGTTGCCTTCAGGATCTCATTGAATTGACGCTGAAACTTCAGAGTGAAGTAATCGATAAAAGGAAACGTCTGGCAGATCTCGAGGATTACATCGATGCCCTTCTGTTACGTGTGATCGAATGCTCCCCACGACTCCTGCAGAACCCGTACCAGGCGAACAGACGTTTGTCCTCGCCCTCCAAGCAATAGATCGTCGATCTTCCGAACTAACATTGCCCCAACTTCAGTAATAACTTTTTCCTAATTTATGATTCTAAACTGAACGATGATTCAATGAAAATGCCTATCGATTTGGTTGGAGTTACTTTCGATGAAGATTGAAGGTTCCATGATCAAAATGACCAGCGATTATTTTGATATAAAATTATGTTGATGGCTTTCAATGACTGATAATTAATAATTTAGATTGAGATACTCTTGCGTCTTCCCAAAAAAATATTGAGTTGGAAGAAATTATGAGGGGATTTGGAATTTCATTCGTTTCTCGGAAGAATTTATTTTCCGATGGAAAGTATGTTATGTTGTTATCGTATTAGTATGGCGGGAACATGTAAATGGGTATGTGCAAGAGCAATTGGTAGAGTATTGAAACAAGTGCCTTATGCATGCGATAAACTTTGTTAAATGTTATTGAATTATTAATGATTTTTCGTAAAATATATAATATTACGTATACCAATTTTCAGCGGTGACATTACTTAACTCCCATTTCCTGTATTACATTTAACTAAAACTAATTTTAACTAAAGAACTTTTTTCTCATTTATGATATTAAACTGAATGATTGAAGGTCTCATGATCAAAATGACCTGCAATTATTTTGATCTAAAATTATGTTGATGGCTTTCAACGACTGATAATTAGTCATTTAGATTGAAATATACTCTTGCGTCTTCCCAGCAAAACTATTGAGTGAAAGAATTATGAGGGGATTTGGAATTTCATTCGTTCCTCTGAAGAATTCAATTTCCGATGGAAAGTATGTAATGTTTTTATCGTATTTATAGGAAGGGAACATGTTGTAAATGGGTATGTGAAAGAGGAACTGATGGAGCATTGAAACAAGGGCCTTATGCATGCGATGAACTTTGCAAAATGTTATTGAATTACTAATGATTTTTCGTAGAATATATAATATTACATATACCAGTTTTCACTTTGTAACATCACTTAGTTACCTATTCCTTTATTCAAAATACATTTCGGAGCGGGAGTAAAGCCGGATTAGACTTTACCAACGGTTGTTCCGTAAGGCGATTAATGACTGGGTTCGAACGATGGCGGGTAGAGGGCTTTGTCCAATGGTTTGAGTGCTCTGAGGATTATGATAATTTGAAAGTAGATATGCGAGAGTATACGTAACTCCCACTTTACAGTAATTATAATTGTTCCGTACCATCATAAAAATTTAGAGAAAAACCCAATATTCCAAATTTTCCCGTTTTTGAAATTCGACGAAAGATACAATCAACGTAGTTCCCCGCAATTAGCAATATTTCCTTTTGCACATTTTATTATTTCCCGATGCAACTAAATTCTGTACTAAGAGAAAAATCGACATAACATCTGTGACGTATTGGGTCGACCAATACGTCGTTTTTGTTGAAATTAACACCGGACGTGCTCAAAAGGCCTGGGTGGAAGAAAGGAGAAATATGATTTCTCTTTCTTCGCATCCAGACATGCCATCAGCAGTCCCAGGGTGTCTTCTATCACCAAAACGGTAAGCAATCTCACGGTCTTCTGCAAGCCCAGCTCAGGCGTTTGAACCGAAGATTACTAGTGGTAGTAATCCATGAGCACAAAATGGCATTTGGTGCAGAAAACCGTGGGACCGCTTAGGTTTGCAAAATTGGGACTTGAGCGAGTCGCGAGGGCTCTGGAACGACAAGAGTCCAGTAGAGTACGATCAGGAGCAGAGTCGAGCGGACCTCTAGCTCAGGCCTTCAGCCATACAAGACAACAACGAGTCAAAGTCCCGAAGTCGAATCAATATTATAGAACCGCGTTATACCGACCCATTGAACACTACCGTGTATAAATTAACCACCAATACACAGCTATTTTACCTACATCTAGTACGGTAGATTTAGTATCGTTAATCCTTCCTCTATCCTTGTTCGAACATCCCTCCGAGTGAGCGAACTCCCCGTGAGCTCACCGCCGAAACTAGCCGGTCAACATAGGGTACGACGGCCCTAGGAAGGAAGGACTTATTTCAATTTGACTAGTCCCAGGGACTAGTCACATGTTAGATCCCCCGGATTAATGCGGTGGGTGATCTAAGTCAAAACGTCACACATCACAAAAATTATTTCTTGAGCGAAAAACATCGCACGCAGACTTGATCAATTTATGGTAGGTTTCAGACTAGAAATCGGTGTCTTCGAGCTAAGAAGGAAGTTACTGACTGAAAAGGTGATGTCCTTTTTCGAAATGAGATATTTCTTAAAAGACAGGTGTTGTATACCCCCTATTTTCCTAGAATAAGTTTCCTAAAAGTCGCATTCTTCTTCAAGCGTCCACCAAATATTTCCAAGACCTTTGTTCCAAATATTCTGAAGATCTTTTTTTAATAACTTTCTCACATTTTATTACTTTAATCCTCCAGACGTCGCAACCCCGACAAATCGTTTTATTATCCTTTTAATTAAAAATCCTTCTTAAACGTTTAATTACTTCCTCGGTACTTTCCCGTACCTCGGGGCCCTAATCCGGTACTTTCCCAATATCTCAATTTCTCCTACCATTAATGTGGCACTTTCCTAATAATTCGATTCCTTGAATTTATCATCGAGACATACCTCTCCCTCACCTCCGTAAGTCCAACCCTCAAGGGTCATCCCTCACCTAAACTGGCCAATCACCAACCTTGGGCCTTGACATTATTGGCTTCCGGATGGATGCCGCGTTTGGTTTCAGCATTGCGCCGACGTTTCGCAAACATTGCAGTCTGCATCTTCAGGGCTGTGAGCTCCGATTTTGAACTCCGATGTCTGAGGGAAGTCCTTTTATGCCTTCCCCGGTGATGGTGGATGTAAGGGAAGGGGGGTCGGCGGTGGGTCAGCCAATCATATGTTTTAATTGATCAGCTGATCAATTACTTGGGAACTCTATTCCCTCGAGAGAGGCAAATGCCATCCTCCGCCAGGCTTCACTGAGACTGGTCAAGGAGAGAATTGCAGCGGCCAAAAAGAACCTGGCCAATCTCTCCAGACAGCTTCTAGATCTTCACATGCTTCTGGCCCAGACGTTGGATTCTCAGCTGTGGGAGACTCTTGATCGTGTTACATATGAACAAGCAGTCCGAATAGCCGAGATGAGAACCGAGAATCAGAAGAGTAGGTTTAAGAAGTTGCTCCCCCAGGAGAAAGTCCCGACCCTCACCCACAGTGTAAAGAATGTGAGCAAATATGAGCTCAGTGAAGCACAAGTGTTTGTGTTGGCGAAAGGACAGAACTTCGCTGTTGCCTCCAAAAAGATCCCTACTGAGGAAATTATTAGTCGGATCGAAACAGCGATCTACCATCTTCCTCAGGAGACCAGTGATGAGATCCGGAGGCAGTTATCCAACGTCCTCCACAAGGCTACTCCCCCTAGTGGCAATATTACTAGGGAAGAACGTCTTGCACTGCGTAGTCTAAAGGAGAATAATGGTCTCATTATTCTTCCGGCAGACAAAGGCAATGCCACGGTGGTTATGGATAAGGACGACTACTCCGGAAAGCTCTGTGCAATGTTGGGTGACTCCAGAGTTTACACAAGCTCAGGAAATATCCTACTCGTACTATTGAGCGCCAAACTACTGATCTCCTGAGGAAGGCTGGACTCTCAGCTGATCTGACAAAATTCCTCACTCAAAGAATCCTTCCCTCCTAGACTCTATGGACTTCCCAAAATCCATAAAGAGTCTATTCCTCTCCGGCCCATCGTCAGCAACATTGGAGCGCCAACTTACCAGCTGGTCAAGTTTCTCCCGAAACCACTCCAAAAGTTGACTGGCCTTAATGGTTCATACATACAGAACTCGCTGGATTTCGTCAACAAACTGAAAAATCTCAGGACTTCTCCAGATGACATCCTAGTGACTTTTGATGTAGAATTCCTCTTCACCAACGTCCCAATCCAGGAAACCTTGGTAATAATCAAGGAGTCCAACGACATCTCCCCAATTCCTCCCCTTGATTGAGCACTGCTTGACCTCCACATACTTCCAGTTTGAAGGAGAGTTCTATGAGCAAAAATCGGGAGCAGCAATGGGTTCTTCCATCTCTCCGATCATTGCAAATATATTCATGGAACACTTCAAGAACGAAGCTTTGAAGTTAGCGGCTGAGAAACCTGTGTGATTCAGGTATGTGGACGATACGTTTGTCATCTGGCCACATGGGAGGACTGATCTAAACCAATTCCTGGAGTTTTTGAATGCTCAGCACCCGAGCATCAAGTTCACTATGGAAATTGAGCAGAACGGATGCCTCCCATTTCTGGATGTCTTGGTTCGTCGCAATGAGGATGGCACTCTGGCTCATCAAGTATATCGCAAGCCGACCCACACAAACAGGTACCTCAATGCTGCCTCCCATCACCACCCCTCCCAGAAGAACTCTGTCATTAGCTCCCTAATGTACAGAGCTCTAACAATCTCCCAATCCTCCAACGTCGAGAGCGAAGTTGAACATCTAGAGACAGCTGTGAACAAGAATGGATATAACATCCAACAAATTCGAAAGGTCAAGCGAAAGCTACAGAGCAAGCTCTCATCTCCTCAAGAGAAGATTAATCCTGAAGAAAATCGGGAGAAACCTAGAGTGGCCCTCCTCCCCTACCTGAGAGGCACCACTGAACGCATCAGCAGAGTACTCGGCAAACACAACATCCGAACAATCTTCCAACCCCCAAAGAAGATTGGACAGATGCTGCCGAGTGCGAAAGATAGCAGACTGCCTCTGAGTACACCAGGAGTGTACGAAATCACCTGCTTATGCGGAAAAGTGTACATTGGTGAAACCGGGAGGAAGATCAGTACATGGATCAAGGAACATCAACGGTGTTCAAAATACGGTCACTTACAACAGTCTGCACTTGCTGAACATTGGATGGACACTGGACATAGGATCGAGTACGATCAAGCCAGAATGTTGGCCAAGTCTCAAAGAGATTTCGAAAGGAAATATCGAAAAGGCTTGGAGATCTACAAAAACCATAACAACCTCAACAGGGACAGAGGATATCAAGTGAATCCTATTTGGAAAACCGTCCTCCCGGTTTTTAAATGATAAGCTGATCAATTAAAACATGATTAGCTGACCCCCCTCCCTTCCCCTACCCACACCATCACAGGGGAAGGCATAAAAGGACTACCCTCAGACATCGAAGCTCAGAATCGGAGCTCACATCCCTGAAGATGCAGACTGCAATGCTTGCGAAACGTCGGCGCAATGCTGAAACCAAACGCGGCATTCATGCGGAAGTCAATAATGTCATTAATCATGACCGCGAAAGCCTTAAAACTAACCTTGGGCCTTACTCCCTCCAGTCACTACAACCCCTACTATTCACCCTCAGAGGACTTAGCCAAAAACTCTCTGAACTCCAACTTAATCATAATTATTTCAACAGTCTACAGAGTAACATCTATTCAGGAAGATATCCAAAGTATTCCAAACAGTACTTCTA